CGTCCCGGAGTTAGCCTCCAGGAGCGAGAGCCCACCCTCCTCGAGGATGAGACAACCCCACCCCACCCCCACCACACATCCGAGGGCTCCCCACGCAGAGAGGGTTCTCTCCAAGAAAAGAATCTTGGAGCTGAATGAGGAGCCCGGGTGCCGATCCCCGGGACGCCGCCCAAAGCAGGATCGCCGACACGCTGTGAAAATAGGATCTGCAGAGTAAGGGGGTCCCCATAGCACCTCACCTCTGCCGCTCTCACCCTAACCAAAGCCTAGGTGATGGCTTATCCCCGCCGGCGAAATAAGCCCATCCACGCCGTGTTCAAAAGTATAAAAGCGGGAGGTTTATTTGGGAACTGAAGTTCCTGGGCGACTTCAGCAGCCTCAGGGGACGAGGCCGGAGAAAGCCGACCCCCCCCCCCCCCCCACTATGGCGGTCGGGCTTTTTAAGGATTGTGGGCGAAGGAAGGTGACTTGTCTGCACCTGCTGATGGCTCCAGATGAGGGTGTTGGGACTGTCCTCAGGAATGTGGAGGCTTTTCTCGAAGGGGCCACGATTGGAGAGAGAAAGTGAGGTTTGCCGGATGATGAGGGGGAGGCGTGGGCAACCCCAGATGCCAAGGGAGCCCTGGGCAGTTAGCAATGGCTTTTCTATTGAGGATCAAATCTGTAGAAACAACCACCCATGCATGCATGACCCTGTTGTGGAAGTCTCTTGGCTGTAGACCTCTCTCAGCCACCTCTGGAAGTGACTACAGCTAACCCTCATCTAGAAGAAAGAGAACCCCATCGTGGGTTAAGAATACTCTCACACTTAGCGAGAAGGCCGCCATCTCAGTAGCACCCCACCCCCAACCCCAGGAGCACTAGCCTCTTTTCCCAGAGGTAGGAAATCTTGGAACTTTCCACCACCATAGGAACAGTGGGAACAGTGGGAGGGTCTTCCTCGTGGGCAGTGGCCCAAGCTTACCTTGTACTGTATCCCTTCAGGCTGTGTCTGGGTCAGGGGGCTGACATCTGGGCCTACATTGTGCAGCATGTTCGTAGTCAAAGGTGAGCTAAGCTAGTGCAGGGGGAGGGGAGAGTTGGGGGAGGGGGGGAGTTAGGGGCCGGGAAAGGCATGGGCAAGGCCTGCAGCAACTCCTCTCCCTCCCATCTTTCCAATGCAGGAGCATCAGGACGATCCGGGGAAACCTTCTCTGGTAACTGCTTCTTAAACTCACTGATTCCTGTCTTCCCCATCTTGTCTAGCCATGGCCACAGCCACAGCCTCTACCTCCTGCCTTCTGCCCTGGAAGGCCGAGCCGCCTCCTAACTCTGCTCTCATTTCTTTAGGTATGGCCATCAGGACAATCCAAAGGTGAGAAGCCGGTGCCCTAAGATTCTCTTTCAACCAAAAATGAGCTTGCAAATATTTTCCTCTAGGCCTGGCTATGTCAGGGACAGTGTGTTAGAAAACAGCCTAGATCTTCGCGCTCCCAGGAGTTGCAGTCCAGCGGGGGCAGGTACCCGTGGAGTAGTGTAGGGAGCAATGGTATGTGGACATGGGGCATTGGTGCTGGAGAGAGGAAGATGCTGAGCTCAGGACCCACAGTCTCGGCACTCAGGAGGAGGTGAGCCTGGGCTACAGAGTGAGACCCTGTAAAAAAAAAAAATGGCGAAACTGATAGAGAAGATGCAGAAAGGACAGGTTCAAGAGAGCCGCTAAGGAATACAAGGAAGAGGCCAAGACTAGGAGGGGGACACCAGAGAGATGGCTTGACAGGAACACTTGCTGCTCTTGAATAGGACCCCAGTTCAGATCCCAGCCTCCAGAGCAGGTGGCTAACCACCAACTGTGATTTCAGCACTCAGGGACCTAACACCCTCCTCTGGCCTCTATTGCCATGTGCAGGCGTGTGGTACACTCACACACATTAAAAAAAAAAGACTAAGACAGAAGCTGGGTATGTTGGTACTTGCCTACTATCTCAGTATTTGGATGCTGAAGCAAGAGGGCTGTGAGTTTAAGATCAGTCTGAGCTAGCTACACAGCAAAACCCCGCCTTGATAAGAAATACAAGATGATGAAAAGCATCTGACAAGAGATGTAGGAGTCACCACACAGACAGAAAACTAAGAGGATGGTGAGGCAGTCCCAGGAGGAGAGAGCCAGATGGACTGTTGTGCTTCTGTGTCAGACCCAAGCCATTAAAAAAAAAGAGAGAATTGTCATCTATCTCCCAGAAGATGAAGTGAGGAGCCTAGTACCACCCAGAAGGTAGTCCCACTAGGCAAAGCCCAGATGAGTACAAGCATCTGGCCTTCTGTCCCTGTTTCTGATCCCACCAGATCCGTCGGAAGATGGAGCTGGGAGCCACTGCAGCCCGCCTGCGGACAGAGATCCAAGAGCTAGACCAGAGCCTGGAGAAGATGGATCGAGAAACTGAGGCTCAGGGTGACTCCTGGGGCCAGTCAAATGGGCACCGAAACCCTGGGTGAGGGAGGTATTAACAGCTACTCCTGTTCCTCTCACAGATGTGGCCATGGCACAGACCCTGCAGAGCCTGAAAGACACCCAGCACCGAGCTCTTCTCCTCCAGGCCCAAGCTAAGGCTGTACGAAGACAGCAGCATGGGCTGCAGGATCCCATGCAGCGCCTGCAGAATCAGCTCAGGCGCCTGCAGGACATGCAGAGGTGGGGCTCAGCCCCCTCAGCTTAGACATTCTCCACAGAGAACCCTCATGCTCTCCCTGCTCCCTTCCTGCTTTCAGAATTCTGAGCTTCCAGCCGTCAGGGCCCATGGGGTGGGGAGTTCTATTATCTTGGGCACCTGGATTGACGGTGCCAACCGGATATCCAGAACACTGGCTTTGGATAGACAGCTGAATACAGAGAACCAGCTGATGGCCCCCTGGCAGGAGGCAGATGGTAGAAATAAATCCTTGAAGGGTCAGATTGCGAAGGGAAAGGGGTAATGTTTAGGTTGGGGGAGGAGTCCCAGAGCAAGCTCAGAGGCTGGAGCTCGGCTCGAGAAATAGACAGCCAGCACATAGTGCAGCCCAAGCCTTGCTGGCCAGAGGGGCAGTGCGAGGAGGTAGACAGAGCCGGAGGGTCACTGCCATTTCTCTGAAAGAGCAGACACCGTGGCTTGGCTGCTTAGAACCGCTTGAGTGTAAGTGAAGTGCTCTTTGTGCCTCTGTGTCCAAGATCTATGGAATAGCGCTAATATTCTGCCTTTCTAGTCAGTAAAAGAACTAGGAGAGCCAAGTCATGGACAATGCTCAGAAGATGTCTGCTAGCTGTTCTAAATGTGACAGGAAAGTGTCCCGTTGGGAAGGGTTTGGAATAGTGCCCTGACACTCCTTAGGTCCCTTGAGGGAGTCTTGTTGTGGTGGTGTATGCCCGTGTACCAGGTGAGTGCCTGGTGCCCTCAGAAGCCAGAAGAGAGCCCTGGCTTCCCTGGAACTGAGGGCTGCCGTGGAGGTGCTGGGAGCCGACCCAGGTCCCCTGAAGAGCAGCCAGTGCTCTCAACCTCCCCCATCCATCCCTCCCGCGCAGCTGTTTTCTGTCCTGGTACTCGCATTCAGCTTCGGGCTTCCCGTGCGCTGAACAAATGCTTTACTACTGAGCTACGTCCTCTGTTTGGCTTCTGTTTTGGACAGGGTCTGTGTAGACCCAGCCGGCCTGAGCGTGATGATGATTGCGTTCGCCTCTGTCTCCCAAGTGCTGGGATTAAAGGTGTGCACTGCCACACTTGGCACGTCCTTTTGCGGGTTTGTTTGAAGACGCCTTTACTGCCCTCCCTTATGTGTGTGCCTGTGTGAGTCCGTGTGCGCCACATGCATGCAGGAGTCTCAGGCAGTTGTGAGCCAGATCCTGTGCGAGAGCAATAGTGTTCCTAACCACTGAGCCATCTCTCCCGCCCCAACTTGCTTTTTTTAAACTTTCTATAAAATGTGAGGCAGAGTTTTGCTGAGTTACCTAAACTAGCCTTAAATCTGCTTTGTAACCACAGCAGCTGTGACAGCTTTCCACAGTACTGGGATGACAGGCCTGTGCCAGGCCTAACCAAATATAATTTTCTTTGGTATTGTTTTGAGACAGAGTAGTTCAGGCTGGCTGGCCTGGAACTTACTATGTAGCCCAGTGGAGCTAGAAAGATGCGTCAGGTTAAAAGCACTGATTGCAGCAGGTCGTGGTGGTAATCCCAGCACTCAAGGAGGCAGAAGCAGGCGATCTCTGTGAGTTCTAGGCTAGCCTGGTCTACAAAGCAAGTCCAGGACAGCCAAGGCTACACAGAGAAACCCTGTCTTGAAGAAACAAAACAAAACACTGGCTGCTCTCTCAGAAGGCTATGGTTCAATACCACCCTCACGTGGCCACTCACTATTAGCCCAGGTTGACTAGGTCTTCAATGACCTCCAGCCTCCTGAATGCTAGAATCCAGCAGTTTTCAGCCTGTGAACTGTGACCCCTTTGGGTGTGAAAGACCCTTTCACAGAGGTCACCTAAGACCGTCGGAAAACACAGATGTTCACGTTGATTCCTAACGGTAGCAAAACTATAGTTATGAAGAAGCCGCCAAAGTAATTTAATAGTCCCTCACCACAACATGAGGGACTATATTAAAGGGTCTCAGCATTAGGGAGATTGAGAACCACTGGCTAGAAGCTCAGGCATGACTTTCCGAAGTTTTAGTAGGCCTGCTGACCTAGACCAGGTCAGACCAGCGGGGACAGGAATAGGGAGGCCAGTGTAGGAGATGACACTGTCCTCTGAGAGCTGGGCAGTGGGGGGGAGGGGCGCAGACATCTGCTCTCCCTCGGATCCCATCCCTGTTACACTCTTCCTTCCAGGAAAGCCAAAGAGGACGTGATCCTTGGACCTCTAGTGTCAGCAGCCCCAGCCATAGAGCCTGAGGTGTTGGTAAGAGCCCGGGCTGTGCAGGAGCTAGGAGGATCAGGCAGAGGCCTGGAACCCACTGACGACCCCCCATCCTCTTCCCACTAGCATGATGTCCGGGCAGCCTGCTCCCTCCGGGCTCAGTTCCTGCAGAAGCTTCTGAATCCTCAGGCCAAGGAAGGCAGCACGCAGTGAGTGTTCTGAGACTCCAGGGCCCCGTGAAGGACCTGGGCTTGAAGGATGGCATGGCGTCTTCATTCCTGAGACACTGGCTTTCTGGGTTGGGTCGGTTCTGATCCCTGCCCTGTGAAAGCTCCTGGGGCGGGATGAGGAAGACACAGGCCCACCACAGATAGTGACAGCCAGGTGATCAGGGCTGTGGGGAGGGGAGGCGCGATTCCCTAATGTAGAGAATGAAAAGGCTGTTAGTGTTGACTGTTGAGCCACGGAATTATTACGGTGGTTGTTATTAACCCGCTTTCAAATCAACAAAAGATTTTTAATCTCCCAGTCCCACACCCCATGCCCGTTGCCCTTGTCTTTTCTCTCCGGGCTTCCCATCCAGAACAACATAAATACTTGACGTGCTTTCCATCTGCGCTGCTGCTCTCCAGCCATGACTAAACTCCCGGCCATGTGGTTCTTCTTTACTCTAACCCGTGACATTTTCCCGTTGACTCTCCTCTCTCCTCTCTCCCCTCCTGTGAGCCTCTGTCCTCTCAGCGTGAGAACCTTAGCTCCGCCTACCTCATGTTTGCCCTGCTCAGCTGTAGGTGTATTTATTCTGCCAGCCGGGGATAATTTGGAGGCAAGGTTACACAGTCTTTTGGTATCCGTGAGAGACTGCTTGGAGGACGGAAGAATCTCGGTGTGGGGTGACATCTGCACCGGACTGTGCCATAACGCTAAAATCCAAAGGAGGCCCTTGCCCAGCTGGGGGTGGGGGGTCTCCTAAGGTGAGGGGTCTAAACAGGACAGGTAACAGCCCCCGGGACAGCAAGTTCCGGCAACTGGGGAATTAGTAGCGGCCTGCCTGGTAGGCACAGACAGACTCCTTGCCCTTGCCTGTACAGCGGGGCCAGTGGTGGTGCCTACGTATGGGGGGGTGATTTGGAGGGTAATTGGATTGGCGTGTCCTACAGCATGCTTTGTCCCCTTACCCCACATCCTCAGGAGCCCGCCGGACGACCACTTTGGCTCTTCCTATCAGCAGTGGCTGAGCTCGGTTGAGGTGAGAGGGCGGGACTCTCGGGAGAGGGACCTCCTTCTGCTTCACAGTGAGACTTCCAGTTCCCAACTGCTAACTGTCGGTGCATCACTCTGCCCCGAGGCCCGGCCTGCAGCCCTGTGCCACCACCCTGCCCTGACTTGCCATGTGTCCCTCCCAGACGCTGCTGACAAACCATCCTGCAGGCCACATCCTGGCCGCCTTGGAGTACCTGGCTGCAGAGCGGAAGACGGAGATCTGGTCCCTGTGTAGTGGGGATGGGCTCAAAGGAGAGGAGACATCCAGGTGTGGAGTGAATGTTCCTGTAGCCACGAGCAGGCAGCTTGAACTGCGGATGGGGTGGAAACGAATGCCAGCCAGGAGCAGGGAAGGGGAAACTGATACTAACTACCCACACTCATCCCAACAAAAATAAGAGGCTGCACTCTCAGCTGCTCTGTCCCCATTCCAGGCCACAGGCCCCGGAGCCATCAAACCCCAGCCAGGCCCTGCCACCCACTGTTCATCTAATCCAGGTAACCCTCAGACACTTTCCCAAGACCCACTGAACCTCTTCCCTGTGGACCATAGCCACACAAACCTTGTACCCCCAGGAGGGCTGGCAGGCTGTAGGGACACTGGTTACCGAGAGGAGTGAGCTTCTGAGAGAGAGACGAGTCCTGACTGGCCGCCTCCGGGACCTCGTAGAGGAGGTGGAGAGGCGTTCTCGGGGATCCAATGAGCGGTAAATGGGCTCCCTCTTTCCTGGGAGGCTGGAGATACTGGCTGTGGTCTGTCTGGGGGACCCTTTCCTGGAGCTGCTTTCCTGTGCTTGGGGTTCTCCAGCCTCCCTGAAGCTCTCCCCCGTGTGGCCGCCAGTCTCTTTGCTGTCTCTCACTGCCTCCCTCCCCCACCCCAGGAAAGTACTGCTGCTGGGCCTTAGGTGCAGTGGGCTGTGGGCAGAGCTCAAGGCTCTTCAAGCCCAGAGCCAGGAACTGGAGAATGCAGCCGGGCACCGGCAGCTCCTGCTGCGGGAGCTGCAGGCCAAGCGGCAGCGGATCCTTAAGTGGCGTCGGCTGGTGGTGAGATGCTGGGCCTGGGGGTGTGCCAGAGTGAGGGGTGCTACCTAGAGATCCAAAACTGGGCCTTCAGGGCGTGAGAGATGGCTTGAGAGAACATTAAGCTTGCTCTGCTGCACCAGCTGCTGGTGGCACACACCTGTAGCCCCAGCACTTTGGAGGCAGAGGCAGGTGGATCACTGAGTTCGAGGCCAGCCTGGTAGAGTGAGTTCCGTGACAGCCAGGGCTGCACAGAGAAACCCTTTCTCAAGAAATAAGAGAGTGCTGGCTGTCCTCCCAGAGCACCTGGGTTTAATTCCCAGCACCTACACGGCAGCCCACAACTGGGACTTCAGTTCCAGGAGACCTGATGCCTTCTTTCTGCCTCTGTGGTTAACTTGTAGACATACGGTACCTGACAGCCATACAGGCAAAACACTCATGCATAAAGTAAAAATAAATAAATCTTCAAAACAATTAAGAGGTAGGGAGGGGAGGAATGAACAAAAGACCCGGGCCTCTACGTGGAGCAGGGACCCGGGGTGAGACTCCCAGGCAGAAACAGGCCCTGCACCCTGTACCAAGGGATGGACTGCCAGGGGCAGAGGGAGGGACAGGAAGCTAGGGTGCCAGTGGCTTCCTGATCCCCAGGAGGAGACCCAGGAACAGATCCGCCTGCTCATCAAGGGAAACTCAGCCAGCAAGACCCGCCTGAGCCGGGGCCCAGAGGAGGTAAGATGGGCGCTGGGCAAGGTTCGTGGGCGAGGGCGAGGGCCACCCCACCCACCCTCTGCATCCCGCAGGTGCTGGCTCTACTTCAGCGGAAGCTTGTTCCCACCTTCGAGGCTGTGGCACCACAGAGCCAGGAACTGCTCCGCTGCTTGAAGGAAGAAGCCCAGCAGCTGCCCCGCATCCCACTGGACCCCCTGCTACGGCGCCACGCCGAAGGGTGAGACTGGTTCAGCCCCATCTTCCCTCCTAAAACCATTCAGATAGCTCCAACTCGAGGTTCAGTGAGAGTGAGCCCCACCCGGAAAATAAAGGTGATCAAGAGGACATCTGACACCCCCCGCGGTCCTCCATACTCACAAGTGGCCCAGGGTCCCCAGGCTGCCAACCCTCACTCCGTATCATCAGCCCCAGTGTGGTCTCCCAGTCCTTAGGCCCCGTGCCCCCGGAGCTTCTGGAAATCAAACTGTCTAGTGTTCTATTGCTTCCCCCAGGCTGGAGCTGCCATCCAGGATTCTACCATCCATCCATCAGCTGGACCCCAACACCCCAAGGGGCCCCAGCTTCATCTCTCTGAGTCACACGCTCGGGCTGCCCGTAGGGAAAGTGAGTGGCCATGCCCTGTGACTTGTCTGCCCATCCCAGTCCCAACCCTAAGAATAAGGTAACCCTGTCCCTCTCCTATCCCCAGGCACCCGAACTACTACTTCCAAAGGCTGCCTCTCTCCGCCAAGACCTTCTGTTTCTCCAGGACCAGCAGGGTCTCTTAGAAGGAAATCTCGTCCGTATGAAGACCAGTTTGCCTCTGGAACCATCTACCCAGGGTACGTTGGCCCTGTCTGCCTTCCAGACGCAGCATTTATTCCTTCTGGATTGGACCACAGGCTGGCTGAAATGCTAACACCCCCACTACCATAGTGTGCTGGAAACTTGCTTGTGCGTTTGCTCCAGCTGCAGAGCAAGCTCTTGCTGTGTGCACTGCTGTTCTCTCTGGTGACAGAGCAGGGAGTGCAGGTGCGCACGGCTCAGTGGCCTGGTCACGAGGTAGAATGGAGGTTGGTGGCTGGTTCGATTTTGGGTTTTTTTGGTGTGTATCTCACTGGGTGTGTAGCATAGACCGGCTTCAAACTAGAGAGCCTCTTGCCTCTGCCTACCAAGGCCTACAGCACTGCCACCAGCAAGAGTTTGGCTACAAACCTAGACAGTCAGATGTGGGTCTACCTCCAAGGCTATAAAACCCATCCATTTGCCAAATACTCACTCGTCGCCATAAGAATGTTGTTTCCTTTCAGTGTGCATGCGTGTCCCACCCACAGCATGTTTGTGGAAGTCAGAGGACAGCATGCTGGAATCTGTCCTCTCCTTCCCACCATGGGGTCCCAGGGATCAAACTCACGTCATCGGCTTAACAGTTAACACCCACCTTTCTCTGCTGAGCCACCTGGATGGTCCAGGGTTGTTTCGTGATGATTGTTGCTTTTTTGTTTTGTTTTTGTTTTTTCGAGACAGCGCTTCTCTGTGTAGCCCTGGCTGTCCTAGACTCACTCTGTAGATCAGGTTGGCCTTGAACTCACAGAGATCCACCTGCCTCTGCCTCCCAAGTGCTGGGATTACAGGTGTGCGCCACTTCTCTGGGCTGTGATGGTTATTTTCTTGAGACAAGGTCTGGCTAAGTAGCTTAAGCTGGTCTCAGACATGTGATCTGCTCCCTCAGCTTCCCAAATGCTGGCTCTTAATGTATCTGTAACAACTCTTGGATTCCTCTATTCTAAAGAGTGATTTTGTTCCCTCTCTTCCTGGCTTCTTCCCCTCCCTAAACAATCCCTAACCCCATGTCAGCTCATCAGCAAGCCCTCAGCATCCCAAATCTGGGGATCCATATCTGTCCCTACCATACCAACCTATGATTCAGCAAATTCCCAGAGACAGTAGGCCTAGATAAAGAGCATTTCGTCATGGTGGAGCTCATTGACCCATTGACCGTGGCACTCTCTGAGTGAGGCTTCAGTGGAGTTCTGTTCTCGTACATGGGGAGTAGGCCTGTGCAGCATCCTGGAGTTGCTAGGAGAAACAAGGATGTTTCCCAAAGGGAAAGGTGGTGAGCTAAAGCTAGAATTCAGGGAGTAGAGTGCCTGCCTGGCATGCTGCAGCCCTGGCCTTGACTGCATAAACCCAGGCAAGGTGGTTGGGAATAGTGCCACACACTTTTGAGTACTGGAGAGGCGAAGCAGGTATAAGTGTGGTCTACATAGTGAGTTCTAAGCCAGCCAGGCCTGCATAGTGAGGACCTGTCCAAAAAGAGAGGAGGTGGCTGGAGAGATGGCTCCATGCTCAAGAGCACTTGTTCTTGCAGAGGACCTGGCTCAGTCCTCAGCGCCCACATGGCAGCTCCCAACCGTCTGTACCTCCAGTTCCAGGAGACCAGCTGCTGTCTTTCGGCTCCTTTGGGCACCAGGCACACGTGTGCTGCACATACATATGCGAAGGCTAAACCACTCACACAGTAAATGGACCTAAAGGACACAGACAAGTGCACACACAAATGCAGACACACACCTGCAGTTCCAGTACTTGGGAAGTCAAGGCAGGAGGGTCAGGATTGAGGCCGGCCTGTACCACGTTAGACCTTTCCTCAAAAAAAAAAAGTATGGGCCAGGTGTGGTGGTACATACCTTAAATGCCAATACTTGGGAGTTAGAGGACAGCCTGGTCTACACATGGAGTTCCGGGACAGCCAGAGCTACATAGAGACCTTGTTTTAAAAAAAAAAAAAAAAGCAAAAAGAGGTATGCTGTCTCCTGTAGGCTATAGAGTTGGGGACAGGAAGCACATAGTTCAAACTGTCAAACTGAGGAGCCTGGACTCTGCTGGGGGTGGGGGCACTGGAGAGCCAGAGGGACCAGACTTCTGACCAGGAGAGGGACAAAGTCAGGCTGAAAGTTTGGGGGGCTTCTGGCTGACGTGGAGGGTGGCCAGACTAAGGCCTGGGGCCTGGGAGAGAAGCCATAGAGAGGGAAGGGAGAAGCCGAGTTGTGTGTCAGAGGCTGGTGGGCCAGAGGGGAGAAGATGGAGAAGTCCAGGCTGTGGCCTTGAAGGTGGGGACCCCAGAGCTGCCTCCACTTGTAACTTCCAGAGCTGCTGCAGCTGCTGGCATCCCAGGAAAAGGAACAGGAAGAGGACATGGGGCAGGCCCTGAGGAAGCTGATGAACCTGATGAAGGAGGCTCTGAAGCACATCCCTGAGCTCCAGGCGATCGTTGAGGACTGGTGAGAATGGGCATTTGAGTATGGGGGAGTTGACTGTGCTTCTTGACATGACCTGCCACGATGGATGGGAGGGTCTGGAGGACCCAGCTTTCTTCACACACCATGCCTTTCCCCAGGTGGGAGCAGCCAGGCCAAGCCACCATCTCTGAGGAGCTCCATCAGGGCCTGTCCCTGCCCCAGTGGCAGCTGCGCTGGGCCCAGGCCACGAGAGCACTGCAGCAGCCATACAAATGAAGAGGAGGCTAGCAGAGTCAAGAAATGCAATTTAGCCTGGTGCTGTGCACCTTTTGTCTCTACTGAGGAGGCTGAGGGAAGAGGACTGCTGTTGATTTCTAAGCCAGCCTGGGCTACACAGCTGGTTCCAAGACAGTCTAGGCTACATTGTGAGACCCTGTATCAAAAATAAATAGTATTTAACCCCCAAGCCTCACCTCCCTCAATAAAATACTTGAAAGCAAGTATCACTCAGTTTTATCAGTTTTGTCTTCGCACAGACCTACAGTTCTCCCCCGATGCTATCCTGTGGCTCCTCCCAGTTCTTGCCGTGCCATTCCCACTAAAGCCAAGAGAAGGAGCAAAGTGGTACTGGGGCCCATACACCTTGAAACGGCTGCTTCACTCTCCTCCTCAGCAGATTAAATACAGGATCACAGTGCCTGCCTTCAGGGACCTAGTGACCTAAGAGGAGGCAGCCAGCCGGCAAGTTGGATGGCTGTATGGTCCAGTAGAGCCTAACTGGAGACTGTGAGGAGGGAGATTTTCAGGGCAGAGGTTTGCTGGAAGGGTGATAGAAAGCTCGGTGCCCTGCCAGGATGGAGAGCCCTATGTAAGGGCAAGTCAAGAGAATGTGGCCTCTTCCAGGGCTCTGCTTTGATACAGTCTGTGACTGTAGCCCAGGCTAGCCTGCAACTCATGAGCCTCCTGCCCCCACCACCCCCACCTCAGTGTTTGTATTACGTAAGGTTCCCTTCTTTCCTAAATGCTGCAACCAAAAAATGGGTGAAAGCAACCTAAGAGGGCTCATTTCGGCTCACACTTCGAGCACAGTGTGTCCTGGCAGGGACGGTAGCTGTGTGGTGCTGGGAGCTTAGAGAGCTGCTTGTTCATATCCTGATGGATCTGGAGACCGAACATTGAGTAGAGACCAGAGATGAATAATGTTCAAGGCTCACTGCCAAGCAGCTCACTTCTAGCCAGACCCCACATCCCAGAGGTTCACTGACCTCGCAGAACAGCGCCATCACTGGGGGACCAAATGTTCAAGCATGAACCTGCGTGGGACATTTCAGATATCTTTATGTTTAAACCTGAGCCATTAGTAGTTTATCCTAGGAAAGTATCTGACACTCTGTGTGGTGGGAGGAGAGGATCAGCTCCTGCCAGTTGTCACCTGACCACCACGTGTGCTGTGGTGTGCACAAGGACACACACAATCGTTTTTCCTAAGAAGAGGCCGTGTAACTGCCCTACAGTGTTGCATTTAAGGTAGAAATACCAAAGGCAACTTGATGCTCCCAAATAATTCACTGTAAATAAAGTGACAACATGGTCCCATGAACAATCTTAGTGCCCACACTGTGGTCTCAAGGTGTCATTTCTGACTGACCCCATCACTCTGGAGGTGGTTTGCAGGGGATGCAGGGTTCGATGGGGGTTACACAGTGAGACTCCACCATCCCCCCCTCTAAAAAGTAACATAACTATTTCTATAAGACTGCACCAGGCTTTTTTAGATGATGGGACAAGATCTTGGCATCACCAAGGGCAACCTACCATCATGTGCTTCTGAAGGGTGCAACCAGATACAATGGGGTACAGTACAACAGCACCATGAGGTATACCGGCCTCCTCCACACCATGAGGCCAGGTTCCACACCCGTGGATTTTATCTCTAATCCCAGCACTCAAAAGAGAGTTGAGCTCAGCCATGTTTTACTTTCTTTGGACAAGGTCTTGACAGTGGTGCGGCTTGCACTGGACTATCAAGTAGCCCAGGCTTGAAAAGTGGCAGTAACCAGCTCCCTTAACTCCCTGCCAGCCCTCCTCTGTTGCCAGCCCAGCCCCTTCCAACGCTCCTCCCAACTGTCCCTCCCTCAGTTCCCCACAGCCTGCCTAAACAGCCCCTTCTCCCAGTTTTCCCAACAGCAGCAGCTCCAAACTGCCACAGCTGTTCAAGCCTATCTGCTCTCTACTTCTGGCTCAGCTGTCTCCTAACAGTATCTCTGCTCCAACTGCCTTCTCTTCTCACTCTGCTAGACACCCTCCACCAGCCTGTTTCAGCCCAGCCAATTATTTTTTAAATACAAATTTACTTATTTATACAGTGTTCTTCGTGCATGTACACCTGCCAGAAAAAGGGCTCCAGATCTCACTGCGGATGGTTGTAAGCCACCATGTGGTTGCATGGGAGTTAAACTCAGGACCTTTGGAAGAACAGCCAATGCTCTTAACCTCTGAGACATCTCTCCAGCCCTAGCTGAGTTCTTAAAAAGGCCAGATGACTAGCAACCGAAGATCCTTTAATCACACTATGCAGGATGGCCCTGAATTCACTGTACTCTGCCAGGCCCTGTCTCCTAACTCAATCACAGGTCTCAGCTAACACACCTGGTTGTACTTCACGGGGTTTTTTTTTTTTCTGTATATTTTTTTTTCCTGAAACATATATTTTCACACCAACATAATCTACTTGGTTATTGGGTAGCCTTCATTTTTGAAGAATTCTTTAAAAACTCCTCAGCTGGGTGTGATGACATATGCTTTTAATCCTAGCACTCAGGAGGCAGAGGCAGATGGATATCTGAGTTTGTGGCCTATCTGGTCTACAGAGTGAGTCCAGGACAGCCAGGGCTACACAGAAACCCTGTCTCAAAAAACAAAACAAAACAAAACAAACAAACAACAAAAATACATTTTAAAAAATCCAAAAACCCTTTTAGCTGGACTTGGTCTTGGGAGGAATAAATCCATGGCAAGAAATGTTTTTCCCTCTGTATGATTGTTTTTGTTTTTTGTTTTTGTTTGTTCATTTGTTTGTTTTGTGTGAAGTAGGACAACCAGGGTAAAGGGTAATTTGCCAAGGTCAAAAGATCATTGTGCTTCTGCCCTAATTTTTATTGAGGTTATTGTCTTGGGACCTCATGTATTCTCGGCCCATGGATGCTAACCTTGACCCTCCAGTCATTGGCCTCTACCTTCTAAGTGCTGGGATGGTAAAAGTGCCACCATGCCTGTGGCTTCTTTGTGTGTTTTGGGTTGGTGGGTTTCTGTTGTTGTTGTTATTGTTTTATATTTAAATTTTTTTATTTTTGTGTCTTGAGTGTTTTGCCTTCATTAGGTGTGTGTACCGAGCAGTTGCCTGGTGCCTGTCCAGGTCAAAAGAAGACATTGGATCCCATGGGACTGGAGCTACAATAGTTGTGAGCCACCATTTTGGTGCTGGAATCAAAACAGCAAGTGCTCTTAACCACTGAGCCAGCCATCTTTCCAGCTCCCTTCCTGTGCCTTAAATGCTCATTTAAATAACTGATTTTTAAAACGATTTATCTCTACCCTGTGTGTTTGGTGTTTGGCCTGCTTGTATGTCTGTGCATCATGTGTGTGCAGTTCCCGCAGAGGCCAGGAGAGGGCACCAGATCCCTAGAAATGGAGTTGCAGGCTGTTGTGAGCTGCCATGTGGATGCTGGGAATTGAATCCTAGTCCTCTGCAAGAGCAGCCAGTGCTCTTTACTGCTGAGCCCTCACTCCAGCCCTTGATTTAAACATTAATAAATAAAAACTTGTGCTGAGTGTGGTGACACGGGCTTTGCCAGCCCTGAGGGGGCATAGGCCAGTCAGGTTCCAGGACAGCCAGAGTGATGTAGAGAAGTCCTGTCTTAACAAAATGACCCCCACCCCAAAACAAACCAAAAACGAAACCTTTAACGGTAAACCCAGTGACTGCGAAATCCCGAGAGGCCTATGGCCAGGGAAGTCAGTGTGTGGGACCCCGGGGGAGGCCAGCGTGGGAAGGCGCGTCCTGTACCGGTCCCCGCCGCCGCTGAACAGCAGAGGTGTTTTGCTGTTATTTTTTGTAGGCTGCTGCAGCCATGACAAGGCGTGGTGCTGGCATGTGGTCGGTGGGCAGGCTTTGTGACGGGGTGGTGTCCCTGCGGGACCAGAACTTACCCTGCCAACCTCCGCCCCGGTGAAGCGGACTGACTTGGCGGTGTTTACAAACTTCCGGAAGGCCTCGGAACTTCCGTACCTCCCCAGGGTTCCGGCTTCCACGAGGTGGGCGGGTCAAAGTGACGTAGTTCCGCTCTCATTCGCTCCCCTCCCTCCAGGAGGGCGTGACCGACGGGGGAGAGGCTCTTCCGGGCCTCGTCCTCCCCGCACTCTGATTGGCTTGCCCGCCGCCAGGGGGTGTGGCCACGTCTCATCGGCCACTGTTCTTCAGCCTGCGACGTCACGCGACGCACCCGTCGCGGGAGTCTGACGTCATCGGCCGGCTCCCGTCCTCAAGAGCCTGGGGCTCGGCCGTAGAACCCGCGGCGGTGGCTGAGAGTAGCGGCGAAGGCAGAGGCATCCGCGATGGCCGGGGCAGGACCGTCGCCGGGACTCCCGGTGGCGGGAGGGCCCGTGGTCCCGGGGCCTGGTGTCGGCATCCCGGGCAAAAGCGGAGAGGAACGCTTGAAAGAAATGGAGGCGGAGATGGCCCTGTAAGGCCCTGAGAAGGAGAGAGTAAAGCGATTTCCGGACATACCCACTCAACCCTGGAGCCTCCCGGTCTTCAGAGGCCTGAGATACGGCTCCGTAAGGGGCCGTGGGACTCGAGGGACGCGGGCCATGGAGCCAGGCGCGGGGAGGCGTTGGCTGGGATGAAGGTGCTGTCGCGATGTGCCCAGTGCCCCAGCCCTGGTGAGAGGTCCTGACCTGTGGTGTCTGTCCCACTCTTCCAGGTTTGAGCAAGAAGTCCTGGGAGCTCCGGTGACCGGAATCCCATCTGCGGTGCCCACGGTAGACGCCATGCAAGTCCCAGCAGCCCCTGTGATCCGCCCGATTATAGCCACCAACACATACCAACAGGTAAGGCGAGAGCTACAGCTTTTGAGTCGTGAGAACACAATGCTTTGATCCCAAAAAGGGTTTATCTATGGGAAGCGATTGTCGTTTTGACTGGCATAGCAAATAACTCATGTGCCACCAACTCAGGATGCAAGACAGAGTATATTTAATCCATCGGAAGCGTCTGTCCTGTTGGTAGAACTTTTTCCGAAGTGGTAGAATGTTCCATATAAGCATCTCTTTGAAGTTTGTACTCACAGATTTGGGGTGTGCGTCAGTGATGCAACACTTAGCCCGGGCAGAACCTTATTTTCTATGCCCACCACCGCAACAACAATCAAAATAATAGTAAAATATATATTTGTGTTAAGTCATTTCCAGGTCTCACTGATAATATTCCAGGTGCTTAAGAGTCAGCTGTATATGATTAGTGGAAAGGAAACAGGGAGGAGACATTTAAATGGAGACCAGCAGAAGAAACTTGTTAATTCTTTTCACACTTATTAGGTGGGCTGGGATGCAGCTCAGTGGGAGATCCTTGCCTAGCATACCAAAGCCATAGGTTCAGTGCCTTGCATTGAAACAAAAAGAGGATCAAAGCAGGTCTATTTTCCTCCACCTCGAGACAAAGTTTCTCTGTGTAGCCTTAAATGTCCTGGAACTCACGCTGTAGACCAGGCTGGCCTCGAACTCACAGAGATCCACTCCCAGTGCTGGGATTACTGGCATGTGCCACTGCACCTGATGATCAAAAGCGGCTCTTGAGGACCCTGTCTGCACTAGGCACTGTTCTAAGCAGTGAGCTTGTAGGAGAAAACAACACAAAAAAGTTATTGTGGCCACCTTGGCATTACAGAATGGGAAGGAGGGCAAAGTCACTAGCAGTCAGGCAAGGCCTTTCTGTTTCAGTGTTAGTAAATGAGATATGAGATGATAAAACCATGCAGGTATGTGGAGTAATAGTATCCCCGGCTAAGAGCTGCAAAGACCCTGACACAAAGTTTGTAATTGTCATCTTGTTCAAGCGGCAGCAGAGAGGTCAGTGGCTAGACAGGAGTGAATGCTTGGGAGCGTGGAGATTCAGATGGTGATGGAAGCTAGATGGCTCAGGGTCTTGTGGTCTGCTGTAAAAGTCTTAGCTTTTACATCAGAAAGGAGGAACCACTAGAGAATCTAAGCAGAGTGATAATGGTGCAACTTGTAGATTAAGGAGTTGGTTTCAAGGAGATAGTGGAAGAGGCTGATCTAGGTAAGGTGGACATTATTTGAGATAACGTGGGCTCTGCAGCCTTGCCCTGAACATGCCCACTCTCAGAAATGAATCAGGGACCTCGTTAGTCCTCAGGTGGGAGATAGCACTATAGGGAAGCTGAGTCAGAGAAGTTGATCCTGGGAGATGACAATAATAGCTTTACTTGGTATGGCTCCTTGTAGCAGAGCCTGACTGGTCACCAGCCCCGTAAATCACGGGGTAAAATAGTCTTAACCTGCTAGGGCGAGCCAGCTGGAACCGGTGAGCATCTCTGAACCAGCTCTCGTCCCCAATAGGTCCAGCAGACCCTGGAGGCCCGGGCAGCTGCTGCAGCCACAGTAGTTCCTCCCATGGTGGGAGGCCCTCCTTTTGTAGGCCCAGGTAAGTCACGAAGCAAGGGGCCCTGGACGGGCAGAGTGGGAAGAAGGGATGGCCAGAGCTTGCCTCCCACAGTCCTCATCTGTCCTCCCCACAGTTGGCTTTGGCCCTGCTGATCGTGGTCACCTGGACAGTCCTGAGGCTCGAGAGGCCATGTTCCTGAGGCGAGCAGGTAGGTTGGGGAGCAGGGCCTTACATTTGGCCAAACATGCTTGTGTTGGTTTAGGAACTCTGGTTCTTTGCCTGAATCTGCTTTAGATCCCTTTCTTCATCCTGACGTGGCCTTTGTACAGTACATCCCTGACCATGTACTTCCTGATTGTCTCAAGTCACTCTCTTCCCAATCTGGTCCTCTCCAGCCTAGTCCTTTCCTGTCACTTCTCATTGAAGACCTCGACAGTGTCTCCCCAGCTTTTAGCAATTCTAGCAAACTCTTGAGTTTGCTTACTATGCTTTTCTATTGCTTCCTCTGACAAGCTTTGTGAAAGGCAGAACTTCTTTTTTTTTTTTTTTTTTTTGAGACAGGGTTTCTCTGTGTAGCCTTGGCTGTACAGGGCTCTCTTCACAGACTAGGCTGGCCTCAAACTCACAGAGATCTGCTTGCTCTGTCTTGTCTCCCAAGTGCTGGGGTTAAGGGCATCTGCCAACATGCCCAACCCCAAGGACAGAACTCTTGATTTTTTTTTTAAGAGTTTTTTTTTCTTTTTTAAGATTTATTATATATACAGTATTCTGTCTGCATGTACACCTTCATGCCAGAAAAGGGCATCAGATCTCACTAAAGATAGTTGAAAGCCACCATGTGATTGTGGGAATTAAACTCAGGACCTCTGGAAAAGCAGACAGTGCTCTTAACCTCTGAGCGATCTCTCCAGCCCCCAGAACTTTATTTATTTGGTTGGTTGGTTGGTTGGTTTTTTTTTTTTTTTTTTTTTTTTTTTTGAAGCAGGCTCTGTGTAGCTTTGGCTATCCTGGACACACTTTGTAGACCAGGCTGGCCTCAAACTCACAGAGATCCTCCTGAGCCAAAATGCTATTACAGGTGTGTGCCACTAGGATTACAGGTGTGGTATGGAGGCAGAGGCAGATGGATCTCTGTGAGTTTGAGGCCAGCCTGGCCTACAAAATAAGTCCAGACCAGCCAGGGCTCTGTTACACAGAGAAACCCTGTCTCCAAAAAAAAAAAAAAAGGACATACAAACACCGAGGGGAGACAGATTGTCTAGACCAGCACTGGGTGACTCACTTGTAGTCAGGACTGTTTGTGATCTGGTTCCCTGCAGAGGCAGATCCCTCAGCACAGTCAGGAGTTGCAAGCATGGCTGGGGTGTCAGAGCAAGTCAAGGAACCATCCTTCTTTCTTCTGCTTGTCGCTCGCTTTAACCTTGAAGCCTTCTTGTCCGCCAGCCTACACTAAGTCTCTTGTTCTTCAGGTATACACACAAACTCACAAACACAACACACTGCCGTATTTATGACATTACTTGTGAGAGTGTGTGGTGAGATGTGTTCTTGGTTGGATGTAAAATTTTGTTACTTGTGTTTTATTAATGCTTTTATGCTTTTGTTGTGTTGCGGATGGATGAAGCCCCGGCCTCAAACGTGTTCCACACTAAGCTACAGCCACGCCTTGGCTTTTAGAAATAAGACCTTGCTGTGCAGCCCAGGCTGACACCAAACATAAATCCTTGTGTTGCTGACTCCTGAGCACCACAGTTAGGGGCGTATCTCTGTCCCTGTCTGTGTTTCTTATCTGATGATGTCTGAATATTAACGTTTCTTCTTCGTAAGTTATCAAAGTAAGAGGCTGACTCAGTTGCCCTGCCCAGCTCCCAGCTCCCTACCCTACTGTGCCCTCAGAAAGATATCATGGAAGGCTATTCGGATGCCTCCCAGTCTTTCTCCGGGGGCTCCCCAAACCCTCTGTGTTCTCTGCAGTATCCTCACCTATACTAGAAGGGAAAGGTTTTCCTTATAAATGCTCTCCCTGGTGGAGATAGTTCTCCTCACTTTTTGCTTGACTAGTTTCATTATCCCGAGGTCCTAAGTCAAGGGTCCCTTTCTCCAGGAGACGTCTTGTCCCTCTGGCTGGGTCAGGATGCTCTGGCCCCTGACAGCTCCCTAGGCTGCCCCTCTCTGGCAATGCATGGATTGCCTCCTCTCCTGGAGCAAGAGCTCCCTCGGACTCTGTGGTCTGCTGGCTTCCCCTCACTGCTCACATCAGTCTTGGGCCCACAGGAAAGCCTCTCAGTCACTTTGCCAAGCGAAGCAATGGCAAGACCACCTCATCTCCCAGAAGGCTCCTCAGCCTCTTCTCCAGGATTTCTAGGGCGCTCTGAGTACCTGCACACCTTACCCCAAGTGTCCCTTTCCCCCATGACACCCCCATCTCTCTCTCCCACAGCTGTGGCCCCTCAGAGGGCCCCTATCCTGCGTCCAGCCTTCGTCCCCCACGTGCTACAGAGAGCAGGTGAGGGGCCAGGGTCATAATCCCTGCCAAGCAATTTCCTGTAAGCCCTGGGACTCCCCAACTAACACCCTGACAGATTCTGCTCTCTCTTCTGCAGCTGGTGGCCCCAGACCTATGGCCCTGAGACCTCCACACCAAGCCCTGGTTGGACCCCCTCTGCCTGGGCCTCCTGGACCACCCATGATGCTGCCACCAATGGCTCGGGCCCCTGGACCACCCCTGGGTTCAATGGCTGCTCTGAGACCTCCCCTGGTAAGTGGGAACTGACTGCTGTGATGAAAGGTCCAGTGGGTGGGAGGCCCCAGTCCTGACATCTCAGTCTCTCTGTCCCCACTTTGTTTCAGTGTCTTTGTGCCCTATTGTTTATTTCTTTGTATGACAAAAGTCTTTGTTTTCTCTGCTCTTTGGAGGCAGAATGTGCTTGTACCTCAGGCTAGCCTGTACCTTGCTGGCCCCAAGTGGTGAGGCATGTGGTGAGGCAGCTTTCTCCCATGTGGAAGAGTGTAAAGCAGAACACGGGCTGTGCGTTTTTTCCATGTGTCTGTCTTTTCCTTTGATTATCCCCCGTGGTCCTGTGTGCACTCACCTACATCTGTCTCCTTTGTTGCCTGCGTTTCTCTGCGTCCAGCTGATCAGATTGCTTTGCCCCATGTTCCCTGTTCCCAGACCCTTGCTTTGTACACAGTAGGGGCAGTAAGGTGCAAGCCTGTGAGCTGCCCACCTGTCACACACCCTCCTCTTGTCCACAGGAAGAGCCAGCGGCTCCTCGAGAGCTGGGCCTGGGCCTTGGTTTAGGCCTGAAGGAGAAGGAAGAAGCAGTGGTGGCTGCAGCAGCGGGGCTGGAGGAGGCTAGTGCAGCAGTGGCTGTGGGAGCAGGGGGAGCCCCAGCTGGCCCTGCGGTCATTGGTCCCAGCCTCCCACTGGCCCTCGCCATGCCACTGCCAGAGCCTGAGCCTCTGCCCCTCCCTCTGGAGGTAGTACGTGGCCTGCTGCCTCCACTGCGAATCCCTGAGCTCCTGTCTCTGCGTCCACGACCCCGGCCCCCTCGGCCTGAGCCTCCTCCTGGCCTCATGGCCCTAGAGGTAAGCAGGGAACATGCAGAGAGGAGACAGAAAGGGCTGGGAGAAAGCAGAAGCCCATGAGCTTGCACACACAGGAACACAGTCCTCTGGCCAGAGAGTGGTGGGGTGAAGCCAAGGGGAGGCACCCTCTCCTATTCTACATCTGGAGCAGATCTAGCCCTTGATTGGAGTTGCCAGGGCTGGAGGCAGTGCCAAGCACAAGAATTCCAACAGCCATCACCGCCCTACAGGTCCCAGAACCGCTGGGGGAAGACAAGAAGAAAGGCAAGCCAGAGAAATTGAAACGCTGCATTCGCACAGCAGCGGGGAGCAGTTGGGAGGACCCCAGCCTGCTGGAGTGGGATGCTGGTGAGTGGCCAGTGAGAGCTTCAACATCACGCGTCCGAGGACAGGCTGCACTGAGCTTTCAGGGCCAGCAGGGGAAGGGAAGCAGGGTGACTACACAGTGTCTGGAAGGCAGGACTCCCTCAGCACGGGTGGAAGGTGGAGGGCAGAATTGGTCTCTGGGGCTTTGGTGATCTCTCCGTGTAGCCTAGGCTGGCCTTAACTTTCAGTCCTTTTGGTTCAGTCTCCTGAGTGATGGAATGACAGGTGTGACCCACTGTGCCAGCTTGTTACCGAGGGTTTTCAGGCCTTTGCTCATGGGGTACCAAGGCTGCTGACGGTCAAAAAGATTGTGCTTGCAACGTCGTGTGAAGATTGTGACGCGCCCAGTGACAGTGACTAGCCTACCTGTGACCTAGACTCTACAGTTAACACTTCCTTTATTCGCTGTATTTCTGAGTTCACACATGCACAGTGTATGCTAGGGATGGACCCTAGGGCCATGCATAGCCTAAGCTTCCATGGAGCCCTGCCCTCACAGAGCAGTGCCCCTCGAGCCTTGTTTGAAACAAGTGAAGTAATTATTTTGGTTGTTTTGTGAGGCAGGCCTCATGGAGCCCAGATTGGCCTCATATAGCCAAAAAGGGTGTTGGATTTCTGACTCACCCGCCTCTACACCTGAGGCTGGTGTGCGCCACCACTCTTCAGTTTATGTACCGCCGGCTTGAACCCACGTGTGCAGTCAGCCCTACCAACTACTCGGCATCCCTAGGTCTCCTTTGTTTTTAAATATCTCAGTGCTAACCCCTAAGAAAGACATTCTTTCATGCTGTGATACTAGAACAGCTAAGAAAATAATAGTAGTTCATTTATTTTGGTGTTGAGACGCCCTCTCCTGTGTAGCCAAGGCCAGTCTTGAGCTTACAATCCTTTTTTAAAATACAATTGTGTTTTGCCTCCGTGTATGTCTGTGCAAGGGTGTCAGAGCCCTTGGAACTGGAATTCAGACAGTTGTGACTTGCCATATGGGTGCTGGGCTTTGAACCTGGGTTCTTTGGAAGAGCAGCCAATGCTTTTAACCTCTGAACCACTCTGCGGCCTGCTTACCATCCTCTTGTGTCAGCCTCCTAAATGCTAGAATTACATACAGGTGTGTTTCACTACGCCCAGCTTCTGCTGGGGCGAGCATGGTGGTGCGCGCCTTTAATCCCAGCACTCTGGAGGCAGAGGCAGGCAAGTCTCTGTGAGTTCGAGGCCAGCCTGGTCTACGAAGTGGGTCTGGGACAGCCAGAACTCTGTTAAGCAAAGAAACCCTGTCTCAAAAAAAAAAAAAAAAAAAAAAAAAAAGCTGGCCTATGGACCTGGGCACGTAGCTCAGTGGTGGAGCACTTGCCTGGCATATGTGAGCCCCTGAGTTCCATCTCCCAACTCTGCAGAAAAACATTAAACAAGCTGACAGTGGAGAGACGCCTCAGTGGCTAAAGGGTGCGCACTGCCCTGCAGAGGGTCTGAGTTGAGCCTGCGTGAAGCCACCCCAACTGCTTGGAACTGCAGCTCCAGGGAGTCTGACCCTTCTAGACTCCAGGGACAGCGCCGCTCACAGGTGCACTACCCATCCACAGACACATGCAAACACATAAGAGGTCAAATCTGAGCCAGACCTCAGGGCCTGCCTCAGAGGTCAAGAGCACTGGCTGCTCCTCTAAAGGTCCTGAGTTCAATTTCCAGCAACCACATGGCGGCTCACAACCATCTGTAGTGAGATCACATGCAGGCAGAACACTGTATGAACAATAAACAAATATTTTTTTAGAAGTCTTTAAAAAAAAAAAAATCTTAGGCCAGGTATGGTGCCGCACTCCACAGGCAAGCAGATCTCTTGGGAGTTCAAGGCCACCCTGTTCTATCTACATAGCAGGTTCCAGGCCAGCTAGGGCTACGTAGCCAAATGTGTTTGAGTTTGAGGCCAGCCTGGTTTATATCCAGCTTCCAGGTTGATCAGGGATACATAGTTGAGACCCTGTCTCGGAAAAAGTGAAAAAGAAAGAAGAGCAGCAGCAGCAGCAGCTAGCCAAGTCCTGAACCCAGAAGGGAGTAGTCTTCCCAGCCACCACACCGCACCCTGTGGACAGAGAGCCAGGTGGGCAGGGGACGGTCTGCGTGCCTCTGCCAGCTTGAGCTCCCCTGTAGACCTTGCCGATTGTCAGCCTTAGCCCTCAAAGGTGGCTAGCTGGCCTGGCATCGTGGCACATGCTTTCATCCTAGCACTCAGGAGGCAGACGCAGGTGTATCTCCGTGTGTTCAAGACCAGCCAGGGCTACATTGTAAGACCTTTCCCTCCACCCTCCAAAAAATGTTTTAGCTGAGGGCTCAGCTTGCGGATACTTGGCTTCAGGATGCACCTCTGCAACCATTTTATTTTGTAAAGATGGTCTTTCCACCATGCCTGGGTATATTATTTAACAAGTTTCTTTTTTTTAAGTCAATGCCCCTGCTGGAAAAATCTCTCCAGGTTGTCAGACTATTTCCTCCTGGGATAGCTTAACTCTCAAACAGTATCTTTAATCACCATGGAAACCATGGGGCAGCTTCAGCCATAGCTGAGAACAGAGCAGACTGCCTTTCACCCAGCCCTCGACAGCTGCTTCCTTTCCTGGAAGTCTTGCTGTGGCTGGCGCGGTTCACTTGGTCACCCAGGCCTCATGCCCCTATCTAAGGAGGAAGACAGCAAGTTAAGCGCACACCCAGTAGAGGTGCAGGCCCTGATGAGAAGCCCGACAGTGGTGATACAAGTCCCCTTGGAGAAGGGGCAGGCAGTGTGTTCCCATGTCTGCCTGGGGTTAAAGCAGACGCCCAGAGGCGGCCGGCTGAGGAAGAATGAGGTGTGGAGTGCAGCAGGCCGGTGACTGGCAGGCCTTGAAGGACTGAGGACAGAGAAGAACTGAGAGTTGGGGCTTCCTTGTAGAAATAAGTTGCCACCGTAGGTGAGGAGTGCTGCACTGTTGGGGTCAAAGCTGTAGGCTCTGGCTGGGTGTGGTGGTTCACACCTGTGACCAGTACTTGGAAGGTTGATGCAGGAAGATCGAGTCAGGCTAGCCTGGGCTACTACATAGGAAGAACCTTTAGGGGGCTGGAGAGGTGGCTCAAAGGTTAAGAGCATTGGCTATTCCTCCAGAGGTCCTGAGTTCAATTCCCAGCAACCACAGAGTGGCTCACAACCATCTATAGTGAGATCTCATGCCTTCTGGCATGCAGCAGAACACTATACATAATAATTTTTTTTAAAAAAGAAGAACCTGCTTGGAAAGAAAAACAGGAAGATTCTACTACATGGATATTGGCCGTTAGTACTACGGGTCCGAGCAGGGATGCTGGGACAGAAGGAGGAGTCCTTGGGGACTCTTTGAACTCTTCTCTCTCCTAACCCAGATGACTTCCGGATCTTCTGTGGGGATCTGGGCAACGAGGTGAACGATGACATCTTGGCACGTGCCTTCAGCCGTTTCCCATCCTTCCTTAAGGCTAAGGTGATCCGTGACAAGCGAACAGGCAAAACCAAGGGCTACGGCTTTGTCAGCTTCAAGGACCCCAGTGACTATGTGCGTGCCATGCGTGAGATGAATGGTGAGTGAGGCCCCTCCTGGGGACAGTGGGTGTGGGGGGCTGCTGGCTAAGCCTGACCGGAACCCTCCATCCCACAGGGAAGTACGTGGGCTCCCGCCCCATCAAGCTTCGAAAAAGCATGTGGAAGGACCGGAACCTGGATGTGGTCCGAAAGAAGCAGAAGGAAAAGAAAAAGTTGGGCCTCAGATAGGATCTGTGGCCAGGCACCCGCCCACACCCGGCCGGGCGCTTGCTCCTTCCGTCTGTGGGAACCCAGCAGTCCACTCACCTGCCCCAAACCAGTTTCAATAAATTTGCCTTCGTTTCCATCCCTGACTGGATTTAGAAACTTGGCCAACAGGGCCTGGCGCACCCGACCTGAGAATATTCCTGCAAACAATGTAGTGTGTCCATTACTTCTTTTGGTTTTAGTGGGGGTTTTTTATGCATTTATTTCATGTGTGAGAGCGTGTGCATGCACGTTCGAGCACGCGAGCACTCTCCTACCATGTGGGTTCCGGGGATCAAACTGGTCCTCAGACTTGGTAGCGAGCATCTTTACCGCCTGAGTCATTGCACCAGCTCCCTCTGAGATGATCCCGTATGTCCCTGGCTGGCCTCAAGCATGTGGCTCACAACTATACTCCAAGCACTTGGGAGGCGGAGGCAGGAGAAGCAAGCATTTGAGGCCAGCTTGGATTGCACAGCACGAACCTACTTTAAAAAGAGACCCGAAGCCAGGCAGTGTCACACTTGTAATCCCAGAGGCAGGTGGATCTCTGTGGGTTCGAGGCCAGCATGATCTACAAAGTGAGTCCAGGACACAGAAAACATCCTGAAAAACCAAGAAAGAGGGTGTGGGAGGACCCAGGGGATTGGAGATAGCTCAGCGGTTGACGGCACTGACTGCCCTTCTAAAGGATCTGGGTTCAAATCCCAGTGTCCACATGTCAGCTCACAAAGATCTGACACCTTCAACAGATAGGCATACGCCAGTGCACATAAAAGGTAAACAGTTTTTTAAAAGACTCATATCTCTAGGGTTACATGTGTGCGCTACCGTATGACGTGTGGGGTTCTGGGAATTGAATTCAGGACTTGTATACTAGATGGGCACCCGACCACCAGAGCCTCAGTCTTAACCCCTCGCCTCTTAAACTCTGAAGTGCATGGTGAGCAAAGCCCATTCCATCTGAGGGGAAGGGGCTGGGCAAGGTGTATGATATGTGCTTCTGACTCAAGCCTGTACTCTTGGGACTGAGGTGGGGTGTTGGGCCTTATCTAGGCCCTGCCCTTCTAGAGCACACGGCCACCCTGGCAGGCTTCCATCTCTCCCTGGGCAATGCTGGGGTTGCTGTGAGTCCAGCAGCTCTGACAGCCTGGAGTGGCTAGGCCATAGATGAGGAAGCTCAGGGGCTGACCTTAGGATAGAAACATCCTGAATGACAGACTCTCGTGTGTTTTGAGGCAGTCTAGCATGAGTTAGCTTTGTAGCCCAGGCTGGCTGCTGATGATTATTAATAGTATTGATTTATCTTTTGAAGAGCAGTTATTCCTGAACCAGCCGTATACCCAAATCACCACACAGAGACTAGGATTTATTTAACATAGAGCACAATGCTGGGCAATAATTACTCCATCCTAAACCTCCAAATCCGCATAGCTTCCTCCCATTCAGATTTCCCACACTATACTTTTTAGTCACATCTTAGGTCTGGTTGGTTCATCTCTCCTGGTGTTTCCAGGTCCTCTCTCATATCTCTCTTCCCCCTTCCTGACTTGTCCCACTCCTTTCTCCTCCCCTCTGGGCCAGGATGTCCCACCTTATTCTCTCCATTGCTCAGCACTGGATGGCTGTTATATTGGCAATTCAGAGAACAAATGGCGGCATGTGAACACAAAGGAGACAGGTGATGCTTAGCATAAACACCACCGTGCAACGTCTGGATTGAAACCAGACAGCGGGGTAGAGAAATCAGCATGTGAATGGATAAGGGCAAATGTATATATGCCACAAGAGCATTACACCAACAGCTGGCCATGAGCGTGCATTCCTGCCTCAGTCTCCCAAGTGCCGCGATCCCAGTGTACACTGTCATCTCTGGCTTCACCCCATCTTCCTTACCTTGTGGACCTCAGGTGTGTGCAGTGTCTCTGCTGAAACTATTCACTACTAGGAATCTCCTGTAGGCTGAGTCTCCATTTCCCTTTCCTTCTGCAAACCTATCAGCTGTTTGCCTACACCTAGATTCCCAAGAGGTGGAGACCTTTTGGACACCAGACCTAGAGCTCAGATGTCCCTCTGAAGACAGCAGTGAACCCGGGAAGCTGAGACAAAGCTTAGTCATAAAGCCAGGCCTGGCTCAAAGACTGACACTTGAACCCTGATGCTGGGGTTGGGATGCATGAGAAGTCCACCACTCAGGAGGCTGAGGCAGGAGGATCCCCATGAGTTCAAGGCCAGTTCTGGGCTGCATAATTAGACTGTCTCAAAAGCCTGTAAAATGAAATTTCTGAGCTGGCATATGCCTGGATGGGTAGGGAAGGGCAACTGCCAAGGGCTACACAGAATAAGACCCAGACTTTAAAAATGCGGGAGACAAGCTGGGGGCTGGATGTGGGGGCACACCTTTAATCCCAGCACTCGGAGGCAGAGGCAGGAAGACCTCTGTGAATTTGAGGCCAGCTTGGTCTACTTATGGAGTTACAGGACAACCAAGGCTACAAAGTAAGACTGTCTCAAAAAGAAAGAAAGAAACAACAAAAGGAAGGAAGGAAGAAAGAAAACGATCAGGAAGGAAAGGCCTTAGCTCACCACCTTATAGAAGGTGAAGAGGCCCAAGCCAGAGGGGAGAGGTGAGGGCCTGAAGTGTACGAAAAAGGCATGGAGGCCTCCCAAAAATATACCCATCAGAAACTGGGATTAGGGAACAAATTAAGGAAGGCTGGGGGGTGGGGGTGGAGAGACAAGGCCAAGCCTCTCCTGGAAGACCACTCAGGAGAGGTGTCAGATTTCTTCCCTTCCTGTCTTCCCCCACACCCTTCACTTTACAACTCTTGACGTCACATTTTCCAGTCTGGCCACAAGGGTGAGGGCCTCCCTCCATGGCAGGAAGTGCCCTTTAGCCCCCTGCCACCTGGAATGGACTACTCAGCCCCCAAACCTTTAGGCTCCCTTCTCCCTGTGGCCAGCCCTTCCTACTCTGAACCCCTTTTCTCCCTGCAACTAAGAGTAAGAGAGGAGATGGGAAGGTGACCCCGGGAAAGAGGATTGTTCAAGAGCACAAGACAGAGGCGAAGGCAGGCAAGGATACAGGGGTGGAGGGAGGCAAGGCAGAGAGGCACTATCATGGCACAGTGGCTAGCAAGGAACAGAGAGACTGGGGAGTGCCAGAGAGACAGAGTGTCATGGCCTCACCTCAAGCTAGTGAGACAGGGATCCAGGGACCACAATCAGAGAAGAGGGAGACAGGAGAGGCCAGCTTCAGGGAAATGAAACCTGGGGCAAGAAGGCCACCAGGACCCTTCATGCTCCTGGTGGATGGATGAGTTGGGGGCGGGGAGGATCGGTGATCTCCTCAGGGGTTCATGGCTCATTCCACACTGGATCCATTCACAGCCCCAAGAGACTGTTCTTTCTGAGGTTCTTTTTCTCTGCAAACTAGAAGAGCAGGGCTGTGTCCCTGACCCTCCAGAACACAAAAAGCTGAAAGGGCTGTGCCAGTTCTGGAGGCCAGTAAGATTTGGGGCAGGGGCTGGAGAGACAGCTCAGTGGTTCAGAACACTTGCAGAGAGCATGGGTTTGGTTCCCAGTGCCCACCCCCGTGGTGGCTTGAAACCATCTGTAACTCCATGTCCAGAGAATCCACCGCTACCTTCTGATTTCCATGGGCACCAGGCATGTCCATGGTGCACGGACATACATAAAGATAAAACACTTGAACAGAAGCCTCTTTAATTTTTGCTAGGCATCGTGGTGTGTGTCTACAATCCAGAACCCAGGTAGACTAGGGAGGAGGACCAGTGGTTCCATTTGAGGCCAGCCTGGGCTGCACAATCAAACCCTCTCTCCAAAAACCAATGGGTCGGGTGAGATGGCTCAGTGGGTAGAAACACACTGTGGCCAAACCTGATGACCTGAGTTTGATCCCTAGGACCCACACGGTAGAAAGAGATCAATAACCCCCACAAGGTGTCCTCTGACCCCCTGACAGTGTGCGCGCGCGCGCGCGTGCGCGCACGTGCGCGCACACACACACACACACACACAATTAAAATGCAAACCAATATCAGGCAAGATGGCACATGCTTTTAATCCTAGCACTAAGGCAGGCGTAAGCAGATGTCTGTGAGTTTGAGGCCAGCTAGGACAACATAGTGAGACCCTGTTCTGGAAAAGAAAGCAGGGAGGGGGAGAGAGAAGGAATAAAGGAAGGAAGGAAGAGAAATAATGAAATAAAACCCAAAGGTTTGGTGCGTGGGACGATGGCTCCATGGCTAAAGGTGCTGGCCATACAAGCCTTGACGACTCAAGCTCAGTCCCTGGAGACGCCGCCGTAGAGTTGTCTTCTGACCTGGGCATACATGTTCTGTCTCGTGCACAACAATAAAGTTAAGGGCAAGTAGAACACTCGCAAGATGAAGAAAATGTTTGTATTTATTGTTTTTTAAATAGGGTCTCACTGTGAAGCCTTGGCTGGCCTGGAACTCACTCTGTTGACCAACCAGGCTGGCATTGAACTCCCAGAGATCTCTGCCTGCCTGGTGTCAGGCTTAAAGGCACACACTACCATATCTGGAAATAGGAATGCTTTTAATATTAAATGTTTACTCACTTGTAATAAGTAAATTTTTTTTCGTTTTTTTTTTTTTCAGACAGGGTTTCTCTGTGCAGTCCTGGCTGTCCTGGTACTCGCTCTGTGCTGGGCTTCAGACTCAGAGATCCTCCTGCCTCTGCCTCCCCATCGCTGGAATTAAAAGTGTGCACCACCACTGCCTGGCCAGTAAGTAAATTTTTAATGTTGAAATTAAATACCAAAATGGCCTCAAATATTTTTAATATTAAATATTTTCTAAGCAAGTACTTACTTAGAAAGATGAGCACAAATATTGCATCTGAGGCCAGGTTCCTGAAGCTAAGGCTTGCGGGCTTAGCAAACAAAAACCAAACAAACCAAACAAAAACCAGGGCGCCTAATTACTGAGTCAGTTTAAAGACAAACAAACATTTGTTGGTATAGCTGTGTTCAAAATAGGGTGATTCTCTCCTGAATCATTTGAAGCAAGCTGCAAACGTTACATTCATCCCTGAATGTTTCCACTTTCTAAT